CCCTGTTTTTTGTTTTTTGTTTTTTTTTCCAGAATGTTTTTATATTCTAGGTTCAAATGAATTTATTTATTTATTTATTATTATTATTATTTTTTTTTGGCAGAACTGGGGATTGAACTCCAGTCCTTGTGCTTGCCAGGCAAGTGCTTGTTACACTGAGCTATCTCCCTGGCCCCTCAAATGAATTTTAGAATTACATTCCTTGTTGATTCTGTGAGGTATGCTATTGGCATTTTGTTAACATTGCATTAAATCTATGTAACAATTTTGGAGGTATGACCATTTTTACTGTATCAGTTTTGCCTATCCAAGAACAAGGGATGTCTTTCCTTTTTCCATTTTCTGATGTCCTTTTCAATTTTCTTTTTTTCTCTTACTAGCTTTGTTAGGTTGAAATATTCGGGAATATTTCATTTTTTTGGATGCTACTGTGAAAGATGCGGATTCCCTAATTTCTCATTGAGTTTATTTGTGCACAGGGGTGCTATTGATTTTTGAGTATTGACTTTGTAATCAGCTACTGAATTTGATTATTAAGTCAAAAAATCTTTTGGTGGAGTTTGTGGAGTCTTTTCTGTAGCATATCATGTCATCAGAAAATAATGATAATTTAACTTCTTTCTTTCCTATTCTTATTCCTTTTATTTCTTTCTTTTGTCTAATTACTGGGGCTAATGTTTTCAGAATTATATTGAACTGGAGTGGTTATGGTGACCCTCCTGCCTCATCCTCCCAAGTGCTAGGATTGTGTGCATGCATCACCATACCAGGCTCTTAAAAAATTTTGAAGATGTGTGTTTTTTTGGGGGGGTTGGCTTTTTTGAGAAAGGGTCTCACTATGTAGTCCAGGCTGGCCTTGAACTCACTGTGTTACCCAGGCTGACCTGAACATCACAGTGATTCTCCTGTGTCAGCCTTCTGAGTGCTGGTATTATAGGCATGGGTCACCACAACTGCCTGGTTTGCATGTGTTGAACCATCATTGTATTCCTCTGATAAATAATACTTGGTCATGGTATATAATCTTGATTTGCTGCATTCTGTTTGCCAGTATCTTATTGAGAATTTTTCTATCTATATTCATTAAGGAGATTGACTCGTAGTTCTCTTTTTGGTTAATCCTCTGGTTTTGGTATCATGTTGCATTCCCTTTGATTTCATTAAAGGATTTGAGGAGTAATGGTATTAGATCTTCTCTAAAGTTCTTGTACAGTAAGGCAGTAAATCTGTTGGGAGCTGGCTTTTCTTTTTCTTCCTTCAATTTCTTTGACTGATACTGAGCTATTTATAATTTTTATATCTTGATTCAGCTTTGGTAATTCGTATGTATCTAAGAATCTGTATTTCTTCTTAGTGTTCTATCTTATTAGAGTACAGGTTCTTAAAATAGGTATTAATGATTGGATTTCTGCAGGATCTATTGTGATTTCACTCTTTTATTCCTTTTTTAAAATAAACATTTATTCTTTCGATACAGGGTCTTGCTATGCAGTTCATACTCATAATGATCCTCTTGTCTCAGCCTCTCCAACACTTGGATTATAGGCATGTTTCGGGGCCCATATGATGTGCCCAGGAACCTGGCACCAGCTCATCATGAGGCACTGGGGTTCAAACTCGGGACCTTGTGCTTGCCAGGCAGGCATTTGCACCACCAAGCTATCTCCCAAGCCCCCACTCTTTCATTCCTAATTGTATAGGTTTGGGTTCTTTTTCTGTCTGTCTGTCTGTCTTTCTTTCTTTCTTTCTTTCTTTCTTTCTTTCTTTCTTTCTATTTATAAGATTGGCTAAGGGTTTGTCTATCCTATTTAATCCTAGTATTCATTGATTCTTTGTATTATTCTTTTAGTCTCTGTTGCATTAATTTCTGCTCTGATCATTATGATTTCCCCCTTCATATGACCTTTGGACTTTACTTGCTCTTCTTTTTCTAGAAGCTTGAGGTTCAAAATTAGACTATTTAATCTCTCTTTATCTGTTTTTCTGATGTAGGTATTCATTACTATAAATTTCCCTGATAGAACTGCTTTATTTCATCCCATAAATTCTGGTAATATTGGTGTTATCATTTAATTGTAGAAACTATAATTTTTTCTTTAATCTGCAATCCATTGTTCAGGAGAGTGTTATTTAATTTTCATGTGTTTATGTAGTTTCTTTTGTCATGGATTTCTAGTTTCATTGTACTATGGTCTGATAATATGTGTGGGATAATTTCATTTCCTTTGTACTTAAATGTGTTCTGTGAACTAGTATGTGGTCTGTTTTGGAGAAAGTGTTGTGTGCTGCTGGGAAGACTGTATATTCTGTTGCTGGATAAAACACTGTTGACATCTGCTAAGTCCATTTGTTTATGGGTTTGAGTCAATTCTGATATTTCTTTGTGGATTTTTTTTTTTTTTTTTTTTTTAGTTGATTGGTATTTATTTCCCTTAATATTTGAAAACTATTACTCCATTTCTTCTGATACCCATTGTTATGAGT